AAATGGCATCACAAGCCTGCCTCCAATGAGTGGCTGAGCCATATTGACCATCATTATTTCTTACTTGTTTTTTGTATGGGTACAAGTGGTCATAATAATGGTCGCAACGACAAAAACGGTCGCTTGTATACTAGCCCATCTCCAAACTGCGATATCCCACGCGTTAAAACAAGTCCCAAACTGCGTTTGGCGATAGAAATAGCATATCTAAACAGCATCGGCTAACTCGTAATTTGACTGAGCTACAGATCAAAACGTAGGTGGTCATAATAACCTGGCGCGCAGTGTATTACTAGTAGCACACTTTTGTAGCCGCACATCCTCAATTGTAGCTGCCCTAACCATCTTTTCTTACAAACATCAAGTCTAACTACGCTTGCATACCGGTATGCAGTTTACATGTTCTTTTCAGCTCCCGGTATGGTCCAGACTCTGGAGGGGTTACATACTCCACTGCTACCTGTACCCAGAAAGCATTCCGGCCACCAACAGCTCCAGCATCTAGCTCACGTCGGCGGTTGAGCGCCCATTAAACCAAGTTGCTCCACAAAACGATCACTAAATAAAACATTTAGCAAACGAAAAGAGCAGTGTCGCGTCTTACGTGTAGTCACAGCAGCTGCAGCCACAGTAGAACCTTGACGCTTGTCACGCTCATCACGTGTTGCTTCTTCACTCTCTCGCCGGGATCGGGTGGTGACGGGTTCTGTCGTCGCCATGGCGGCGGTTGCGGACAGGCGGCTCGTGTCGGCGGTGTGTGCTGCTGCTGTCAACTGTGGAATAGACGATTGGACTTGAGATGAGCGGGATTTGTGTATCCCAAGACCGTGCCACACAACGTCCCAGTGGGACGAGAAGGGGTGTCATCCTTACAGGTCATCCCAATATCCCGGCAAACTAGATCGCTGATTGGTCCATCCCTCTTTTGGGACGATATAAGACTGAGCCTAAGCGCACCAACTATCACCATCCAATTTGGCGGACCTCTCTTGTGCTCTGACCGAGCGTACGGTAATCGTCGCCGTCGGGAAACAGATACAGTACTGCACCCCGTTTTCGCGACCTTGGAGCTTTGATAAACTTCCGGATGTGATGCTCCTGAATCCAAAAAACTATTGTTTGTCTGCTAAAATCTAATTTATTTTCGAATCCTATATGGTCCACCCCGCGAAAACGGGTTGCAGTACTGTACTATCTACCGGTATCTGAATTCGTTTGGGCTAACTGTAAACAAGATTCAAGCTACTTCGACGACTACTGTAGTACAATTGTGTGGCAATTTTTTTTCGAGGGAATATAACAAACACAGGTTAGAATCTGAATAACACCGTAGCCCATCATCCACAATACGCACGGACAGGGCAACCTGGTGCTCGGCTGCGCACAGCCTTGCACAGGAGATGGATGAGCAGGCAACGTGCATCATGGTTGGCATTTGTGACACTAATGTGACTACGAAGTGTGGCACCAGTGGATCTTTGAGTGGCTACCTTCATTGTCCAGAAAGCGTAGCAGCCCCAGGGTCCTGACCAGCCTGCGCCGTCCAGCGCACACCACAGGGCGATGCCGGGTCTCAGCGCGTCAGAGCTGCCATCGGAGGCGCTCCACGCTGGGGACACGATAGAGTATTTCTCCCGTGCCTTTGTCTGCGGCGACCACCGAGGGTATCGTCGCGCCGTCGTCGCCTGTGTCGACGGCGGTGACGACGTGGACTTCCCCGTCACTGTAAGCACTGAGGAACCGATACCGACGAACATGATGGTCAAGAAGGTGACAGACTGCCTCGGCAACCCTCTATCACGCGTCAAGACAAAGTGGCGTAAGGTTCGGACGTTTGAGTTGGTCCCAGGAACCTTTCCCGCTCCAACGAGGTCCAGTGAGCTGAATAGTGTCCTACAAGCGGCTGTCGCAGCGGCATACGAGGCCGTTCGTGGAGAACGTGAACATGTACCTGAGTAGATCGTGCCGGAAACGCCACCGAGCAGCGCAAGCAGCTCCCCGATCATGCAGACAAACCAAAGCCACGTCGTGCCACCCAGCACCCCACCGCAAGTCTCTGCTCCGGATGCGTTATATGCAGGAGGGTCTACGGTATTTGGTGATAATTCTCCATGTGAGGAGGACTCTGGAACGTCAGCGGTGAGAGAGATAATTGACCTTGTAACACCCGAAAAGAGCAGCGGCATTGTCTCCGACGCCGACTCTGCTGTGTCCGTCCAGTCGATACCTAACCGACACGCCCGCGCCAAAATCCGCCACCAGCCGAAGCCGAAAAGGGCGCAGTGGCTAGTTCCAAGGTCTAGAAAACGCAGAAACCTGGCAAAATGTGCGGTGACGAGGAGCGGCTCTATGATTTACCACGCGAAGACCGTCAAGGCGGCGAAGTTTAATCAGCTGCGGAGCAGCCCCGAGATCAAGAAGGAGTTAGAGATCCTGCACACCAAGCGGTCGACGTATTCGGATCCTAAACAGAAGCAGTGCCGAACTCTATGTAAGACTGTAGCCTGGCCAGCAGAGATCGAGAGGATCACCACGTGCAAGCGCAACGGGGTGAAGTTTCCAGATATTGAGAGCTACGACTCGTGCAACTGCTTCGGTGACTGCTTTTGGGATACCTGCACGAACGTGGCATCGGCGTCCTTCTGCATGCCCCAATACTGCAAACTGGGCGCCATCTGCAGTAATGCACCTCGCACTCTAAGCTCGCTGAAGCTGTTCGATACTGGACGGGTGGGTCTCGGCGTGTACACGACCACGGATCTCGATATCGGAGACGTACTAGGTGAGTACTGTGGAGAGCTGTCAGAGCTCCCCGCAGTGGTGGAGGGGCAGCCACCACAGGCCGTGAAGACAAACACAGGGTACACGCTGCTCTACAACACCAGATCCGTGAACAATAACTACGTCTACGTTGACGCCTTGCGTTGTGGCTCTATTACACGCTTCATCTCTCACTCGTGCGAACCGAATGCCACCTTTTTGGAGCAGCAGACGCGCACTCGCGTCCGAGTCCTCGTGAAGATGATTAAAAATGTGCAGGCAGGCGCTCAGATCACCGTGCACTACGGCAACGAGCGCTGGTTCAAATGCGCCTGTGACCTGTGCTGGAAGGAGCCGAGCAGAACGGGAGACAGCAGTGGTGACGAGTAGGAACAGCTATCGGTGTATCTTGTCTAGTGCCCGCAGTTCTCTGTAGCTATCGTTCTGGAATTATAAGAAGGAGTATGAAAACGGTCATTTGCTCACTCGTATATTGATAGGATGAACGGTACAAAGTTATTCTGGCCATGTAACAGCACCTTCTCGGGGATCCGTGCGCGCAGAATCACTCGAAGCTAAGCGCAGCTCCAATTGTCCTCGGGCGTCCAAGATCAGGCAGAACTGACACTTCGCCCCGCTTTCTTTTACGACGATTAATCAAAACTTCGCGCCCGCTGCTATCCACGTGAGCTGTAACGCGCAATGCGAACAGTAGATGAACGCACGCGCCGAAGGCAAAAAAGTAATCGCACGGACATCTCTGAGTCTGGACGTTCACGGGCCAGCCGTCGTCGGGCTCCCCCTCGTACTTCTTCCGCGCGTAGTTAATACCCATCTGCGCCAACACGGCTATCGCCTCCTCGCTGCGCTTGTTCGGTGCGATGGAAACGCGGCCTGCAGGCAGTGATATTATACGCAGGATACAGGACGCTCCTGAGCGCACATACTCGGTATCCTGACCTTCAGCAACGCCTAAGTATCGCTCCCGCACCATCTCAGACACCCTCCGTGCGAGGGTTTGTGCCGGAACCACCGCATACTCAAACGCTCTGGTGCTGCTGGACTGGTCCTGGCAACACCCGCTGAGTTCACATAACAGCGTGCCCATCTTTAGCCGTCGGCGCAACGTATAGTCACGCTTTAAAAGTGCGTTGAAGGTCTCCGCCGGGTTGTTTGTGGAAGAAACCCGCATGGCGTCGCAAACACCTGCCACGTCCTGAACGGTCCAACGACCCACTGCCCGTAGAAGTACTGAGCAAACGAAATTAGGGTCGGGTCAGCCATCCAGCGATCCAGAATACAGCGCAGCATCTCCATATAGTGCCCTTGGTCTCGCGCAAAGTGCAAGTCGTATACTTCTCTAAGCACACGAGCTTGTGCGTCCGAGGATAGAAGCTTGACCCGCTCCTGGACGTGCTTCATCACATGGAAGAAGCACATCAGGAAGCGAAATCGCGGGTTGCCCCCAAAGACCGATGCGAGAGCATTGAACTGAGCTCTATCGCCGTCAGCCATCGCGTACTGAACGGTCAAATGGTTTCCTGTGATCCACAAGTATAGGCGTCGTAGGGATAGCAGCGCTGCCTGGAACATTGGCTCAGTTTTTGTGACATCACAAACATACCCACCAAGTGAAATCTGCGAGAGCGGTCTGAGACCCCGACTACCAACACGGGCAGATTTGTTGTGCCATGGCCATACTGCATGGTGTCAGTAAGGCGTTCTCTTTTTTTCCTTTCATTATTTATCACTACAAATGTTTTAGCAAGCAAACGATGCTTACGTCGCTTTCTTGCTGAGAGACCCTCGCGCGCAAACAGGCTCGAAGAGGTTACAGCGCGCTACAGTTTTTAATGGTAAAATACATGTATTTAATAGTTGGGCTATCCGACCTTGTTGAAGTTGTTCAGCCGCCGTCGGCAAAAGTCTATTTACACCGGTCGTTGCTTGCAGGAAAAACCCCGTCGAATATTGCCTCGAAGTCATCGGTCCGCCGTCGGCAAACGACGAACCTTGTTTTGCCGACGACGGGGCCTCAGTCAACACCATCCTTACGTACATGTAATGGACATTCCATTGGGATTTCCAACGTAAGTTACTCTACATGGACCTTGTAGACGTATCCGACGGCGGAACAGAGCCTCACTAAAGCTTTCATTCTTAGCAACGACCTCGTTTGCCATTTTCATTTATACATTCGTACGCAAACCCCTCATATCATTCGCCCCAGACAGCAAGCGATGTCCAAGCGCTCTTTAACTTTATCGAAGCTGCCCGTGACGATTCTCACGGGCTTCCTTGGAAGTGGGAAAACGACGCTGTTGAATCACTTACTAACCGAAAACCACGGGAAAAGGTTCGCAATCATCGAGAATGAGTTCGGTGAAGTGGGCGTGGACGACCAGCTTATTTGCCAAGTCACGACTCCAGACGACATCGGTGGAGGCGACTCCAGAAGCCGAAAGTTCAATATGGGTGAGGAGATTCTGACTATGAACAACGGCTGCATCTGCTGTTCCGTACGAGGCGATCTCGTTCGACTCATTGCACAGATCCTCAAGCGCAATGGGGACCGTAGCCAGCTGGATGGGATTATCATCGAGACCACCGGGATGGCCGACCCTGGTCCCGTTGTGCAGACGTTCTTTGCTGAACCATTGGTGGCGGCGACGTGCGAGCTTGACGGAATCATCACAGTTGTCGACGCGAAGCACATTTTGCAGCATCTCCGTCCTGGAAACGGGGTGGAATACGAGTGCGAAGAGCAGATTGCTTTTGCAGATCGCGTCCTGCTGAACAAGACGGACCTGGTGAGTTCGACCGAGCTCAAGGAGGTTCATTATCGCATTCGCGACATCAACAGCGCCGTGTCTGTCATTAAGTGCCAACACTGTCGGGTAGATCCCGCTCTGCTTCTCAACGTCAAGACTTTCGATCTCGACTCCATTCTGAAGAGACAACCCGACTTCCTTAAGGTCAAAGAAACCACCCACGCTCATGGAGATGACACTGACCATGAGCACAAGCACGGCCATGAACAAAACGTAGAGCTGCATCACAGTGGAAACAAACGCAAGCACTCACTGGTGACCTCGGTGGGCCTCAGTCTTCCCGACCCGATCCTTGTGGCGCTGTTGGAAGATTGGATCGACGATATCCTGGATACGGAAGGTGACGATCTGCTTCGTTATAAGGGCGTGGTGAACGTCGCCGGTATCGATAAGAAGTACGTTTTTCAGGGCGTACACACGCTGTTCAACGGTCGGTTCGCTGACAATTGGGCTCCAGGCGAGAAGCGCGAGACGCGGTTCGTTTTCATTGGTAAAAACCTCGACCGCCAAGCGCTGACTGAAGGTTTCCTGGCATGTCGAGCTACAACAGACCTTCGGTTCCGAGTAGGAGACCGGGTCATGGCAAACACTGGCGATCAAGGTTTCCAGGCTGGTACCATTGTACAGCTCTGGGAACAGGGCAACCCGTACGCAATTCAGCTCGACTGCGGCCGGAAAATATGGGCTCCAGTGGATGAGATTGGGCTTGTACGAGCGCTGGGGGAGGCTCAACAGGAGAAGACTAGACAGCCTCTCACAATGATCCAAATACTGGCATAAATAGTGAAAAGTTGCGAGCTCACGTCTCAGCCTGTATATTTAAAGCCAGCAGCCCTGTAACTACGATGAAGAAGAAGTCAACTACTACTGTAGTAGTAGTACTGTAGTGCTATTAATTCGTAGTACATACACAGTACCTGTTCGTCTATGATATGATTACCAGACCTCGTACTGGCAATGCAATCGTGCCCCAATCCGTGCAATTTCTTCTTCACAAGGAAGGTAGGTACTAATAGCGGGTTCTAAGTATTATTTTAAGCTGATTAATATACAGCAGTAGCCTCATTAGCTGGAAAATTTCGGGCGAAAAGTGGGCAAATTTCGGATGTCAGACAAATTTGAGCTCGATCAAATTCACTTGTTTCGCTAAAGTTTTCTTAAGGGAACACCAGTTTGAAGATGTAAGCGTAGTGATGGGGTTCTGGTGCCTTAGGTCCCAGTGGCTGTCGAGCTGTGGCTAGTAAAGAGTCTCAGTTTCAATACAAAAATTAGCTTTATGGTGTACCCATACTTCGGTACCCTGATTTTCGTTGAACTGCATCTCGTGTTCGGCAGCAAGTCACGCAGTAATGTATACATGTAGGAGCCGCGTTTGTGTATAGTTTGATGCTTATGATAAAGAAGCTATTAATGCAAACATAAGATACAATACCGAGTCGTCTCATCACCTATAGCGGGGTGTACCCCACGGTTACATGAAGTGTGACTTGTGTGACTAGTCACTCTTTGGGATATCAGGGGCATAGCTTCATTATAGGTAGCTTATAGTTTGTAAATGATAGCGCTTGGATAGTTGGTTACTAGGAATATTTTTCGTCGCGCTTGGTTACATGTCACATGTTTTAATACGGTCGACATCAGGAAGAAGATATTGAGCGCGGCGATTTTTTCGGTGAGCGGGATCCACGTTTAAGAGATGACAGTTTTTACGCTGCAAACGTTCAACTAGCTTTGGCTGTCGGTGCGAGACTATCTAGTCGTAACCTACAACGTCGGGGGAGATCTGAAATCAGCGGAAAGGATGCATTCTTCAAGACGCTAGTCCCATTGCACGTGGGAAACCCTTAGTAAGAACTTCAGAATTCTCACGGCTACGTTTACAGACACAGTGACAAAGCTCATACGGTTTTTGTCACCAAACCTGGACGTGAAAAATCACGTCGAGGCGCAGGCGGAGCTTACGACAATGCAATTAGCATTAACGTCTGGGTACATGTTCAAAAGCTTCCCATGCGCATTATGCACCGTGGGCGTCACGTCCTAGCCAAGCTGGCGCTTTGGAGGAAGTACTCAAGAAAACGGTAAGTATTACAGTGGCAAACACCACCTATACGGCCTTAAAGTGAGGGTGTTCGTCAGTCATGCCCTTCGCAATCAACTGCTTTAATCACGCAAAAGGGGTTACGCATGATTTGTCGATGTTCAAAGAAAAACAAGTCATTCTATTTTGGACGAATGCCTAAGCTGCTAGGAGATGAACAATTCGAAGACGTTAGTAAACAATCATTATGATCAGTGGGTATAAAGGTACAGCACATTATCTACGAAGTATCCATCCCAAAAATGGAAAGAATTTGACTCGCTCAGATCTTGTAAAAAAAACGACAAGATTTCTAGTGATCGGGTTATTGTGAAAAATTATTTCGGACATTTGAGCCAGTTATGGAAGAATATTATCACTTATCCGACCCCTCTTAAGTTTAGTATGAGCATTAATGGCCAATCTTCTATTATATAGTTCTGGGTAGCCAATCATATCCAAGTAATATGTCAGTCTTGACCAATCAATCCTTGAAGGGTTAGGCTGGTCATATAAACTCCGTATCAGGTCCGAGAGGCACGGACAATATAGTAAGATGCCGGCGTTTATCCGACTGGCGTAATCACTTCGATACATTCGACTAAAATTACCGCTTTCTAAAATATGTTAATTAGCTGCACTTTGTAGAAAGCAATAAAGTCACCAGGCTGCTCTACAGTGAGGGCTGACGGCATAGTGGCGGATCGGTGTTGTATTAATAAGCAGCTCTATTAATACGTAGTACTTGTATTAATACATGCATCAGTCTCCGCGCATCAGTACCGCCGCTAGTAGATACTACGTATTACGGAGCTGTACATCTGTCCAGACTTCGTACAAGTGCCGGTACAGTACATGAATTGCATTATAGTATAATGAAGTATTGGCTGCCAGTGCCAACACACGCGCAGTATATGCGCCGACTTCATACCGAGCTTTTGGCTACTGTACACATAAGCACCTCATGTCGCTCCGCCTCATGCAGCGCCACCACAGCAGCATCTGGCTCCTGTTCCCGGCCACGACCGCCTAGCATCAGCCCCGAATGCTTATCCTCATCCTAGATGCAGCACTTCCGGCTAAAGCAACGCCACGCTGCACCGCAACGCATCCTTTTTGCCCTTGGGAGTCGCATCCTCCTCCTCCACGATGTCATCTTCCACCGAACCCATTGCCACCTCCATCGCCTCGGTATTCTCTGATCCTATTGCTATGATCGCCTTCTCGGTTACGCTCTGCACGGAGCTCAGCAGCGGCTCAAAGCCAGCGACGCAACTGCCTCGGTGGCATCGAGCCCGGTATCGAACCTGTTTCGTTCACTAACAGCGTCGTGTGTAGCTTCCCAGACAAGCCCAGGCCGCGACGCCGCCATGAGATCGCCAGCTGACGCATCGCACGCTACTGCCACCCACGTGCTGAGGCTTCTATCACCAAATAACCACGCAATACACCCGAGAACAACACTACCGCGTACACCGGCAGTAAACTTGCTGCAGACCCGTTATCCGTCCAGTGCCACTTCGAGCGGCTTCGAACGGTCGTCGCACAGGCTCGGGAGGTCTTCCGAAACCACGCTAGACCGCTGTCAAGCACACTGTCAGTGATGCAGTAACACTGCTGCACCAACCCTCGGCTGAGGGCGCACCGGCGTGAATCGTGATGAACACGAAGCGGCAAAGTATCCAAAACTGCTGAACAATTTAGACCACCTTGGTGGATCCGATTTGACAGTTTTTCGTGATACGGTGGGGGCCAAGCAATCGAGCGAAGATAACAAAGAGGTGCTCGAGGCTAGCAACGCGAAGGCCAATAGGATCCGCGCCATGAAGACCACCACCGCACTCAAGGCGAAGCTCGACGGTATCAAGAAAGCTTCCAACTCAGCGGGTAGCAGCGTTCTTGAAACCCTTTTATTTCTACGCGAAGAAAACTAGCGCAAAGCGGAGATCCGTCGTGTGGAGGATGAGCAGCGCCGCCGAAACGAGCTGGCAGCCCAAGAAGCACACCGTCTTGCAGAGAAGGCCGATTTCGACGAGCGCCGAGCGCTGAAAGACTCGAAATGGAGGAACAGGCGCGTCGTGACCGCGAGGAATCCCGAACTCGCACTTAGGAGCTTGTCGTGCTTACTGGTGCGCTCATAAAGAAGACCTAAAGTTGAGCGACAAGCGCAGGGGCGATTACGAAGAATTGAGGGTCACTTTCTTTTAGTAGCGTTGCAATTACCGTTAGGAATTCATATGAGACTGCGCGAGACATTATGATACTAATCAACCATTTGGAGTTATCGAGATATTCGCGTCTAAAGATCGCCCACGTGTTTTCGCACTTTATCGAGTAGCTGAAAAAACAAGCGTCAAAGTTTTTCAGAAATTTGAAGCAGGTGTATCATTCCCGAACAGCGCACTCCAGCCTCGAGAATGCAGTGCCCCGAGACCGAAAGCAACACGACGGCACCCGATCCTGCCGTCGCTGTTCCAGTGCCGCCCCCTGCTCCCCCTGTCCTGGTCAATGCGGGAGAGCACGGCCCCCACCGTGCCACGAAGCAACCAGCCGACACCAGGGCGCACACAAACACGGCCACCGCCGACCTAACAAGTATCGCTCAACCTACTGCTCCTCGTGTCGCTTTGCCCTCCGCTACAGTAGTGTAAGTTTGCCAAAATGTCCCGCCTAAATCAAAATGATACTGATGTCCATCACTAAATTTAGGCTTTTTTTTCAGATTATACACATGGGTTCACTCGGATTTGATCACCCAAATGCGGTTTTAGACACTTTCTACTGCGTTTTAGCCGAAACGAATGGCACCACGCGATTCTACGGGCGATTCTGCCTCAGACACTGCAATAAAAAAAATGAAAAAGTTGGTCATCCACCGAGGTAAGTTTTCCAGAGGCTCACCACTTCGTCAATATCTCGTGTCCGAAGGTGTGCAAGGGCTCAAAACGAAGCCAAGATACATAGGTTTGTGTTGGTGCGCCTAAATCGCGATTCGTACCTAGGTTGATTAGTATACTTATGAGACGGCGTCAAACGAAAAGGTGCTTACAAACCTAAGTACGAATCGCGATTTAGGCACATCATTGGAAAGAGGAAAATCTCCTCTTTTGATTGGTGCATTCAGATCTACAAAAAGTACAAAACTCACTGAGCGACGATCCTCAGAAAAACATGTCTCCTTGAAAAAAACATTTTTCGGAAAAAATGTTCGTAGACCCCTGGAAACAATTTTTCTTACTGAATCGATTGCACCTGGTCCCCAGTATCTAGTTTGCATTACTTCCTTTTTAAATATGTGTTTGAAGTTGGAGATCTCAATTTTGAAGGGTATATTTTGAATTTTTGGGTACATCATTTTTATTTTTTGGGGTATTTGGGTATAGGATGGAAGGATCATTCTGATGTATTGCTAACATTCCACTCACGAATTGACCTAATTATCTTTCTTTGCGCGCTTTCGGCTTCGGGTTCCAGTCTTGGGCTGCGCTGGTGTAGCTTTCAACACGTTTGCACGGCCTTCATTCCCTTCTTCACTTTCAACCGGGGCAACCTTCGCCTCATCAGAAACTGCAGCGTCTCTCTTTTTTTTTGGCACTTGCGTTTCGACGTGCCTGCTTAGCCTCCTTCGCGAGGCGCTCTTCCTCATCCGTAGGAACTGCGTACAGGGGATCCGACGCAAACTCGGAAGGGACGTACGGTC